TGATAAATGCTTTCCTTCATTGGCGATTTCGTCGGACTGTTCTCTTTTCAATAATAACGATTAAGATCTCGTTTTCAGAAAGAAAATTGTTGTCATGAAGGAGTCCCTAAAGGATTGACATGTTATCCCTTGATCTGCTTGTGTACATGTAATCATGTTTTAGACACAATGAATAAACTATTTCTGGTTTAAGCTGGATATTGTATCCTTCATTAATATCTGTATGGTGAATTACTTAATAACCCTATTAATATTTACGCCAAGGTAGACTGTGAAATTACATACCATCCAATTAAGAAATACATAATTAAAAAAATACGCCCTCGATCTGTTTCTTGCATAATGTATGAATAACAAATAATTTTACATAAAATCATAGATACAGTGATTAGATCCCTGACTATTGGCATCGTATATGTATAATATATATGTTCTTTTCATCTCCTATTTTGTTTAAAGAAAATGATGATGATAAGAAGACAAGATTAAAATTAACTGAATTTTATAAAGAAAAGCTAGATTTCACAATACAGAAGAAACAGATTGATCAAATTTCACTTGGTGTAATGTAAACAGCACAGTTTTTTAAAACTTTATTTTCTTTAAATGATACAGACGTAGGGACAAAAATTGCAAGTCATTATTCTCAGTCTTAAACATTAATTGAGTTTATTATTAGTATAAGAATGCCGATATCAATACATGGTAATGATCTAATTTTTTTATGCTCCTTGTACATGTTAGTATGTGGGCACCTCGGAACGTAATTATCCCCAGGTGTATAATAATATTCAGGTATCCATGTCTGATTTACATTTATCTAATAAAAGAATATAACAACTGAGACACAAAATTGAAGTAGGGATGCATTCCTGGAGACAAGTATTACACATTCTACACAATTATGTAATTCTTTAGATATACACCTACAACGTGTTCATGTCGTATTTCTCTTTTCTATTAGAATGAAATTCAGTTGAATGAACTCACAATGTTTAGAGGCAAGTCCCTGCGTACTATAATAGTGTATTATATTCTCCACCAGGGAAACCGGAAGTCCTAAGTCAAAATCGATAAAACCTTAATAAAATTCACATAAGACTGGATTGGATTAAAATGTTGAATATTTTCCTTCATTGGTAATTTTAAATTTTTTATCTTTTTTAGATCAAAGGATTACAGTTGAATCAGACATTCTATGAACAGGTTGGTGAGGCTAGAAAAGCCGGGTTTGGAGCACACAGTCATTAAACAGTTAGAGTTTATCATTGAGGGAGTCAGCAAGGTCCTTTTTCCCCAAGAGCAAACCCTTTTCCCGACGCGAGGCTGGGGAAAATAGGCCTGCTTGTCTTGTTGACCCCTTAAATAATATACGTTAACTGTTTTATTAAGATATCGATATAAAAATTAGACAAGTTAACTAGTACTGAATTATACTCAGTGAAATTAAATGATATATCCATATAAAGATTAAACAAGTAAAAAGACAATGTATTTGAATAAATGGTCTATATAATACATGAAACTGCAATTAACAACACACATGTATACACATATATTTACATATCCAATGTCTTTGTCCTAGATAAAATTACAAATTGTAAATTTGTTATTATCGATTTCCCAGAATGTAGATAAAATAAAATGAATGATTAAATTCAATAAAATGACAATGTATTTGAATAAATGGTCTATATAATACATGAAACTGCAATCAACAATACATGTTTGTTAGCCCCCGCCTCCTTATATTTAACTTTAACTGAGCTGCATTATGAATATTTATGACTCTATTATTTTGAACATATTGGATTTTTTTTTTTATAAAATTAAACTATTGCAATGTGTTCTAAATAGATGTGTTAAAATTCATCAAATTGACACATCGAATTTGCAGGGAATCAGATTTAACGGCGATTTTTTAAGAATATATCTATTAACTCTTATTTAGTGGAAGATCGGTAGAGGTATAATATAAATTGATTGGGTCGTCCTTTAATTACATCTATGTACAAGAACATCCAGTTATCAATTTTATAAGGCGATTTCAGCAGAAATGCCTTTACACTTTACATTCGAATTCCCTGCGAAAACAACAAATTTTTTCTACGCTAGGAAACATCTAATTTAATTCATTTATAAATGTGTTAAAGTGCATACATTTGAGATTGATTCTTTTGCATATCAGGTAAAATAACTCGGGGGACTTTATATAATTATCTTTATGTACACATCATCTCCATACCATTAAAATCCTGGTTTCTGCCCTGGACTTACCATGTACGAGCATGATGTCCCTTGTTTTACAGGAAATGCTCACATGTTTCACGCACATTTCTGCACACAATCGGTGTTTTAATCAGCCGTGGTATTGTAGTTCCTCCGAGTCTTTGAACCAAGCATTTACTATTGTTAGACGAGTCGCACCTGTTGTGAGATGAAGAAGAGCCAGTACCTTAGTTTGGATTATTTGTCACTTTATCCACATTATCCAGTTTGCATAACTTTGTTACAGTTATTCATAGTGATATTTTACTACAATGATGCTACAGCGTGATTAACTACAGGTACCAATCATGCTTGCAAAATTACCACTTAAGTTTATAGACATTAAAAAAAATTAAATAGTTAAAATTTCGGCTAAAATCTTGACATTTTTCCCATTAAGTCAATAGTCAACAGGTATTTTCTTATTAAAAAAAGAATAAAACATTCAACCCAAATGTTTCATGTGTTCAAGTTACCTGACTATATAAATAAAACAAACCCGTTAAAGTTATCACTGTGGTAAATCAATGTTTGATAACAATGTTTATTTAAAATTTAATACTGCAGTATTTATTTTTCTGTGCGTCAAGTTTCATTTAATTTAACAACAGTTGCATATTATCCGGTTCACATTATCTGTTTTTCTCAGTTCAACAAAAATATTTGTTAAAGTTTTTTTCAACTCATACATGTACTCATAGTACCCTTTCTAAGAAGAACATTCTCCAAAATCATATGTCAGTTTTATATATTTTTTAAAAATAATTCCAACAATCAAACTGGCTTTGAATGACCATATGTATCTATATATATTAGTTTCTTGATCAACATTAACAGAGATACATAGCGCTAAATGTTCGATGAGGCCTCTTTCTTTACTCTTCACCACAATATTAACAGGGTGAAGGAGAAAATTCAGGAGTACTATACAGATGTGGCTACTAAAACACTCAAAAGACGCTTAGAAAATTTGAATTCAATAAAAAATCAGTGACACCAAAACGTATGACTTTTCAATTATTTATAAAACCATTCCCTTAAAAATTTATTTCAAGCTATTTGTCATCACAGGCAGATGCATTTTCAATAAAAATGTATTTTTTTTTAACTTACCCTGTTATTTGCAATTAAAAAAATCTGAATGTAAACACTTGTACTCTGAAGTTGATGTTAAAATGATTATGACTGACAATATCTATGCTGTTGTTGGAGATTAATGTCTTTGAACAATCTGTTTAATCTAACTTCACATGACTGCTAACTCAGGTTTTAAGCATATCTTCTTTTGTATTCATTTGAATCAGAATTTACATTTTCACTACAACTTTTAATAATTTATTCTCGACAATCACTAGAAATTATTGCATATATTATAGGGAAAGATATTTCTAAGTTTTATGAACTTGTAACCAATCCTTTTGTATGAAATATTCAATAAAATATGTTCCAAACAAACAAACAGAAAAAATTGTTTTAATTTCAAATGACTGCTTATTGTGCCCAGTTGTTAGCAGATCTTTTATATTCATTTAAATCGGATATTTTTCATAAGCTTCAACATGAAAAGAAGAGGTCTTTTACTGAGGTATTCGACTCAACATCTAGTTATATCGACTGCGTTTATGTTTTTTACATAACATAAATATTTATTTTCATTCCTACGTTGATTCGATTTATTCCCAATAAACTCGAAATTGAGTTTTTGTTTGCATTGGATATTTCATATAAAAAGACTGTAATGCTAATCTAATAACAAAAGTTTATGATAATAATGATGATTATGTACATCTTCTCTGTCGTCAAAATCCCCTTATTTAGAAATATTCCCATATCCTCTGCAAATAGGTTTTTATTTTTGTCAGTAAATGTGATACACAAGAGCATGCTCTAACAATTTTTGAAAAAGGAAGCTATTGACAAATGAGTTGACGAAGCAATGATATTAACGGTTTTTAAAAGTCTACAGGAGAGATTGAAGGGAGAAATTATAAATGAACAGACAAGCTCTTCAGAGGTCAACGTTTCTTTCTAAGGCAAGGTAACAACAGATAAGTTGATATTACATGGATTTCAACTACCCCGTCTAAAGTCAGTATTTCGGAAATTCTATGGTCGTTATCATGACCTTATTAACAATTTAACTTGTCACTGAGTCTTTTTAGATCTGATTGTCCGGCGTTTGTTTTTATATCAACTCTGACTAAGGAATGTTCCGTCTGCCTCATCAACATATAGGGCTCAAGTCTGGTGTGACCGGTCTACTGGGGAAGCTTACTCCTCCTTCACACCTGATCCCATCTCCAAAATTCTCAGAGGCCGTATTTAATGCCCTGTCTATAGACCTGTATTGTTTTAGGTTTTTAAGATAGATCATTATTCGTTTTCTACACCCTTTAAATGTGAAACAAAATTGCTGTTTTTCATAAAAGACATAAATATATCAAAAGATGTCATGATTTTCCGATTTTTAATCTATGACAGGTTCTCAAAATGCGCCATTATACCAAATATTGATATGTTAATATATATGTAAATATTTAACGCAAAACAATCATTTTAATGAATATATCAATTATATCAATATAGGTATTGTCATTTTTGAAGTGATTCGACTCCCAACTACAGCTATAGATATCATCCTTTGGGACATCATTATTGTAGTACTGTCTCCAGTTAAAAATGTGGCGAATGGTTTACGATCGAATGACAAAATGTCACAATGCACACTGATGAAAAATTTCCACAGTGACAACAGTTTATTTATTGACAGTTAGACTTAAAATGTTAACATAAAATAATTTATTGATATGCAGTCATTCACAAATTCAAATTAATTATCAATTAATAACACCTTGAAGCACCGTAACGTTGACTGTCGGATGCAACGCATGAATACTTTATAGGGGGAGAAAGAATGATACAAAATCAATACATACTCTACTTCAATTAGGACGATGATTGGAAAAAAGTTCAATTCGAAGTGCTCTAGTCATTATTATCAAGTATACCACATCGTTTTCCCCAGCCGTTAAAAGGGAACGCTTATGTTGCAGAAAATAAGAATATCAACAACAGAGAGGAAGGGCGAAAATTCAAGCTAGTTATTCATTATTCTGCTAGAATTGTATTGTATCATCTCTACATAAATGCATGATGGTTTTCTGCAATAAAGTCAATGGTTATTTAAAGAACCAGTGTGCAACTACAGATTTGACGGTATGGTATAGATATCCCTGGAAATGGTAACCTTGGTGATTCTTCATGAAATTTTCATCGTTGCCATTATCAACTGTAAGATTATAAATATGAATTTCTCTTATACATTGAATACTTCAAGATGTTTCCGTATAGTTCTTATATATTTCTGAATTTCTTTTCATAATGTCAAGGCATGGTCCTAAGAGTCTTTCAAAAGAGTCACGTTCTAAAAATGCAACTTTTACTTTACCTATGGCGTATACATTGGCTGATCTTGGTTTGTTTTCTATAAGAGCGAGCTCTCCGAAGTACTTTCCGGCGCCATGGCGCCCTACTTCCTCTTCACCCCCATCTGGGTGATTTATAGTAACTCTTATCATCCCAGATTCCACGAAATACATACCATCAGCTTCATCACCTTGAGCTATGATTGTTTCTCCGTCATGATAGTTTCTGGTCACCAATGCGTCTGCAAGATTCATACGTTCATATGGTTCTAAGGATTTCAGCATCGTGACATTTTCTAGAAGTTCTTCATACATTTTTCGCTTTTTAAACGCACTTCGCAATATTATCCTACGGAATGAGTTTCTATCCATAGCCCATAAAACACCATCTGATACAGCAACGATGGACGCAGAACGTGGCATGTTGTACATCAAGGCTAGTTCTCCAAAACTCCCTTTATTGTCAAAACGATGAATTTTTTTCTCTTGACCATTTACATTGACTAGAACATCATAAAGACCATGATCTATGACGTAAAAATTGTCTCCATCATCCCCCTGGTGAATAACATACTCACCGGGTTTCACCGACTTCTCAAACATGGCGTCGATGACATCTTGCATCTGTTCTGGTTCTAAACATCTGAAGAGTAGAATGCCACACACAGCCTCTGTCAGACGCTCTCGTTGTTCGTCTGTTTTCGGATAAATAACCTTATCTTCATCATCGTCATCTGCTTCTGGATCGTACCTTTCGGCGGACACCGACTGACGTCTGGCATAACGATTATACTTTCTAGTTTTAGGTTTAAATTGTTCCTTATCTGGTTCCCCTGCCCCTTCATCGTCTTCGTCCACAATCACATACATTGGAATAGATTTAGGTTTCCTGGTTTCCTTAACCTTGGAGAAATAATCCACTGCAAAATCGTAGAGATCATTCGGCTTATCACGCAAGACAGCTACTGTAAAATCACGCAGGAGATCTCCTAACCCATCCGGAATTTCTAAACTCATGGTATCTATTTGGCAAATCTTCCCCAAGTAACACTTTTGCTATAGTTCAGCCTATTTGGTCATAAATGATAAATTGTAAATTAAATGCACACTGATTTATGGCTCTCCTAAGTGAAGTAAGTATAGAGATCGGAAATAATGCCGTAAACTAGCGATCCTTCAATAGAAGACACGGTTTTATCAACAGTGAGCCGATATTCCCAAACAGTGTTAAAATCGATGGATACGTTTAATGAATTCTTTATCTTACATCAGTTCCACGATGTAATGAGACTTTCCATCACAATTGTTACGTATAAAAAATGTACTTCCTTTATCATTAAGAATTCCTTTAAAACAAGACAGTTAATTGTAGCATCGAGTGTAGTGGATTAGGCATAACTGTTGTGGACAAAGCCCTCTTCAATAAATGATTCTGATAGCTTCTTCTTTATTAAAGTAAACTAGAATTGCATGGTCAGTCGTAAACAGCACAAAAATCCTATTAAACAGGCCAGTCGATAGGAAATGATTTATCCTGTCTGTTTTACAGGATTAAAGTTCAGTTTATTGGAAATGTTCGCTATAAAAACCTGCTCCAGCTGAGGAATACAGCAGAATTCACTAGCTCGATCTGGACTTAATCTACAAAACACAAACGAAAATGCTCAGTGAATTAAAATGACGAGCTGCAATTATAACTGATCATCACAGTTGTGTAAACAAACTCCAGGAAGGTTTTAATTAGGGATATTGGAGGAAGCTGTATTAATAATCAATATCTTCCTCATCTCCGATCTCGCCACATCACCTCGGCCTGAAATGACAATAATTACCGACACCGACTACAGACGAACAACCCAGGTCTCTAACAATGCCCCTAGACCACTATCTCTATTTTGCTTGATGAATTCGGATTTTAAGACTCATTTTATTTCAATGTTGTTCTGATAATTACATATTTAGGTAAATAAATGTGACTTTTAAAAAATAAGAAAATTTCTTTTAAGAGAACTAAATATATGTATTTAAAATATAAATTTGAAAATCCCTTTGAACTGTTAGATTATAGAATGTATATATATCATAAGTCGGAGTATACCTGCCTTCATTATAGTGAAATATACACTCGGGGATAAGATTAATAAGCATCTTTTCTGCCCGAATAGATGATATTACCTATTCATTTCCAATTGGTAAGTACATCAATTCGGAAAGGTGATCATCTTTTCAAATACTAGTACGTGATATCATATCACTTACTGAATATAAACTGAAAAGGTGATATCATCTTTTCGAAAAGGTATTATCACTAAATTGCAAACATTACCAAAACGGCGCCTCATACGTTTCTTACAACAGAAACGAAAAATATTAACATACTGTCATATTGTTTGAAACAAATTTCAATTTCATCAATATTGTGAACATATTTACATGTAAAAGAACAAACGTCTATATTCAAATTTGGCAAAACCCCCTTTTTAAAATTTAGAATCCACTCTTTTCATCAACGAACGCGTTCATCCTGTTCTCATCAGATATTTGCATGAAAACTGAAAAAAAAAACAACTTTAAATTTAATTTATTTTTCTATAGAATGTTTAATGAAAATGAATTATTTTTTGGTGTTGATCTTTTTAGCGAATAAATTTTCATGTATCTGATTTTTAAAAAAGAAATAAAAAACATGGTGAATAAAAGCTAATTTGTTTAACATAGTCATCGCGCCTTTTTTGCATGACAGACTTGGGAGTTCAACTCCCGAAGAGGAATTAAGTTCAGAGGTTTTTTTGTCTATAACAATACATATATTTATCCCTGCCGTTATTTAAATCTTTAGGATGCTCGTGTCCTCTTCTATGCAGTCTGTCATTCAGGAGTCACAATTAATCAGTCGCACGGATATTAATACAACCTACTAAGGAGTTTCTGCTGTGTGTCTTATACAAATGTCTAAGATCTAATGAAAACATCGATATAAGATTGTCAGTTGATACTAAAATCAGGTGCTGCAAGTCTGCAAGGATTTTGATGACGTGACTAATTTTCAGAAAAGGAATTAATAAAGTGCAAATTGAAAAAAAATGGTTTAATAAACTTTTCTCTTTAAAAATTATTGTTGATTTTCTCGCAGACAACTAAAAATCATGCAGTTATTAAACTGCTGACGTAAAGCAGTTCGTGCAATTGTGTTCTGAAAATTGCATTTCTGCGTACCTCCAGGTTATACTTCAATGACTTGGACCAAAGAAACAAGATCTACGTCAAACATCCTTTACCGTTAATTTCTGTTTTAAAATTGCGTTCAGAAAACATATTATTACGGGTGATGAAAATGAGAAATCATCAGAAGAAATTGAAGGGGAAGGTAAATTACATGAATTTGAGATCACTGGTTATATAGTATAAAAATATTTTTAAAGTTTCAGGCAAACTTATACATTTAATATATTTAAGCATTGAATTCTGTCTTAAAATTGCTATAACACACCTGGCCGTGCCGACAAATTGAATACCGCGCGTTATGCTTATATTTACATTCTCTAATTTTTCTTTATCACAATTGTTTATTTCCTTCATGTTTAATGTAAATTTAGCGCCCTTCGGTATTGGCGTGCTTGATAAACGTAATAGCCGTTCGTGACGTCGAATAGCCGTTTGTGACGCTGGAAAGTTAAATAACGCAAATAAACATTGCGAGGAAATAAAATGACAAATTAGTTTTTAATGCACCTTCGCCGTATTTTATGTTAATTTTACAAGGGTAATTTTTTAAAATGAAATCGAGTCAAAACGATATACATCTTGGTATTCCTAAATACTGAAAATACATGTAGTTCCTTCTGTGTATTCTACCGCACTGTGACAAGGTTTCGCGTGTGTTATAGAAAGTTGAACGTCGTGGATTTCTAATGGATTTAATAAAGAAAATTACACTGAATGTAAATATATATGGATAACGTTATGGGTTTCAGAGATGCATACTGCGGAAAGCTTCACGAACTGGCGCAATATCTAAGATTAACGTCCAGAGTAAGAAACAAAATGGTAAATGAATGGTAAGGGAAAAACTTAAATAGCCTAATGATTAAATCTCAGAAAGTGGTAACTGCATTTTTAATGTATGATATAACATATTGATGATTGAATTATAAAATAAAAGCGAGTTTTTTGGGCTGTCGGCTCGTAGCAGAAATTAACACAATTGATATTGTATATCAGAGAGTGCACATTAAAAAAATAACTAGTTAATGTCACGAAGAAAACTAGTAGATTCACTGTCCATACAATCACTACCTTAATAGTAGTTTTACCAGATATTGGTATATTTACTAGATAAGATTAGTAAATTAAGAATTGATGAGTAACTTTCACTAGGTATCTAAGTCTTTATACGACCCCGCTCCACAACTCACTATCTTAACCAGTAAACTGAAAGATTACTAATCACGACCAACGCTTTACGAAACACACTAGTTAAATTCACTGAGTTTTTCTTTCAGTGTGTGTGATCCACTTATAAGTTGAACAAGGAAAATATAACAACAAGCAATAATACATTATGTCATACATTATGAATTAGGGGACAACTGGGATGACTTTCATTTGCAGCTTTATAATGTTTCAGTTAGACTAATTTCTTTTAAGGCACATTTGAAAACAAAGAAAAATCATAATTATTTTATAAATGAAAAAAGTTTTTTAACTCGTGTGGAATTTTAACAAAACGGTAAAATCTATTCTGAGTGATGTTATTCTTTACACTGAAACATTTAATCTGACATTTAAAAATGTTATCTTCATAGTTAATGCCATCAGTTGCCGTTGCCTTTTCATACAGATTATCTCATCTGGGGACAATATTTTTAACCAATGACACGAACGCTTTTGTAGCCTACCATGGTGTTGAATAATTAAACACATGGATCATATGAAAACATATCGAGAAACACAATGCAGGGTAAAGAGGGTATTGCAGTTCTTTTGTTATTTTCCCTAACTGTGTAGCAGATTAAATGAAGAATTTTTATGTTGCAGAAACTCATATTAATTTTTTTTTAAATGCAACAATATATAAAGCACAACGAGAAACAATATTTGGAAGGTGTGTATTGACTTCCAATTTGCCATTAAATGATGTGAAGTCTTACGGCAAAATATATGATTTTCCTTTTTTTAAATAGGGAATCCCCATTGTGCCACCTTGAAACAGAATAATTTTGATATATACACAAAGAGGCAGGAATTTTCTTCAAAGAGGCACATTTTTGAAAAACGCAAAAACTGAATAAAAATTATTCTTCAAACGGGGAGAATGTCAAGAAGTTAATTAATAACTAATCTATATATTAGAAATGCAGGATTAAATTGTTTTCCTTGATATGCGGTGACTAAAAACTAATGCTTTATTTAGTTTTGTCTTGGAAAATAAAGTTACTGTATTGTTTAAATAATTATTCTTTTTACATACTGTAGTTATTGTAATTTTGGTCTCTTACATGTAGTTAGTAGTTAAGATTTGATTTGAAACAAATAAAATGTCTTGTATATAGCACCACAGTGTGATTATGGGACGCAGTTTTATTTCATGAAAAATATTTTCGTACGATGTCTACAGTATATCTTTCAAAATGCTGCTTTAGCCATTGTGCTTTTTGTTCACAGGAAGAAACAAGACCTTTCAGTTAAAACTGAAAGGCGGCTTTCAGTAACTTTTCAGTGGCCATTCAGCCACTGAATGGCACATACATTTCAGTGATCTTTCAGATGCCTTTCTGTCATATTTCAGGTACCTTTCAGTCACCATTCAGCGGACACATTTCAGTCAACTTTTAGTGACCTTTCCGTCAACTTTCAGTGACCTTTCCGTCGTCTTTCAGTGACCTTTCCGTCGACTTTCAGTGACCTTTTTGTCGTCTTTCAGTGACCATTCCGTCGACTTTCAGTGACCTTTCTGTCGTCTTTCAGTGACCTTTCCGCCACCTTTCAGTGATATTTAAATCGCAATTTAGTAATTTTTTCACTAGCATGTTATTTTTTAATCAGATATTTTTCCTTAACAAGGAAGCCATATTTTAAATAAAGATTTATTATTCAATCTTACTTGTGTTTTTTTTTACTTATCGTGGGCAAATACCTTAAAATATGTCTAGGTAATTATTATTGATAATTACAAGAATAAATAAATCGTTTCTACTGTAAAAAAATATATAGGAGATTTTAGCTTTCTAATGATATTGCTTTAATAAAATCATTCTACTAAGTTTTAGATAGAGAATTTACAACGATCTTAAATCTTTGACACAGGAACAGGTGTCCGTCTCTGATGATTGTCATCATCCTTATTAGAGATGTGTAATTAATTTGTCTATCCCCAAAATAAAATATGTGAGACTTATTCAAAATGATTTTTAATTGAATATTTCTAGTTACAATAAGAAAATAAATTCTTCAAGTGATAAAAAATGATGATCCGATAACGGATTCAAAATTTCAATAAATGCATAACATTCTATAGTGCTTATACGTGTATTTTATCATGGATATGAATAGTTCTGATTAATGAGACAGAATTAATATTATTTAAACCATTTCTGGAAGATCGCAAGTATTACTGTTCGTTTCTTAATTATGTCATTGTC